TTTTAGAGATAAAGTTGACAATTTATAAGACAATTTTGCAACAACTTAAACATACACTTCAAAAAAGTGTAAGGCAAATCATAAACGTATTCAAGCTCAGATATTCACATCCAAAAAGGAAAAAAACTGTTATAACTACAAATGGCGCTAATTCATCATAATCACAGGTCTGAAGAGAAGCAAAACGAAGTTAAAAACCACAAATTTTACAGAAAAATAATCCCATAAATGCAAATTAATATACTCAAAAACAGACAGCCACTGGTTTTCCACAACTTACACAAAAACACGAATTTCCAAAATCAAACAAAAGATGGATTACAAGATGTACTCACACCAGAAATTTACTTAAAAATATTAATTTAAAGGCAGTGGTTTTGCTCAAAAAATCCAAAACCAACAACTAACAAGCAGTTTGAAATAATCACAAAGCAAGAAACTATTCTAGTAGTTGTGTTAAATTCTGCTTAAATATAAACGGCTTGAACACATCTAACTGACTCCTTTAAAACACTATCATGGCACATTGAAAATTAAACTAAAGCATAGTGTTGAGCAAAAAAACTGACAAGAAGTAAAACTGATTATTCTTCATACAATAATACTGAGATAAACAACAGGACGACTCAAAAGGCCAGTTAGTGATACCCTCATTATATAAACTGTTTCAAAAAATACAGATTACAAACTACATCCCAAGAATTTTAAAAACCAAAATTGTTCCCATCGAATCAAGTTCTAAAGCCCAAAATGAATAAAACTGAAAAAAAATCCCTGTAAAGGAAAAAACCTCTAGCTTTAAAATTAGTAATTTCGTATTTTCGACTAACTCCAAATCATCAGCGCCTAAAATAATACCAAACTCTACACATAATAAAAAATAAATTAGAGACGTACAGGCTACCGCGAAGTAAGAAATATGACAAAAATGCACAAGATGAGTCAAAATTAGTTCAAATATTTGTATACTTTGAAAGCCACAAAAACGAACCCGTTACAGCTGGAACTCCTAATATTTATAAGTTATCGAGTAATCAAATGTTTTTGTTCCAATTCACGAAGAGGCAAGCTCAGTACAGCAGTTGAAGTAATTACATGTTTAGTAAGTAGCGTTTAAGACCTACTGGTAACCGCAATTCAGAAATACGATTCATTCTCTGTTTACCAATTTGAGTTCTAATTGCGCGACGGCATATGTCCATCAGTGGTAGAGGCTCCGCTGAAAAAACAGCATAAAGATTTTTTAAGTCAAATCTCTCTACTTAAAGTCCACTAGAAACTTACATTCAAGGCCTCCAAGGTATTTTATCGTTATTTCGCAATGCCCCCACACGGCAGACACGATTGGATATAGCTTTTTGCCTTTTAGACCCGTAAATGCAACTCCATAGTACTGACTTTCTGATGCAAAGGCCATGTAGCCAGCATCCATATCCAAAATACAGAGAAAACGGTCAGGAACCATGTAATTGTCTTCACGACTTATTGGGACACTCGGATAAGTCCACCCGGCAGTATTTCGTGAGTCATGATAACACTTGTTGCGAACTGTAAATACCAACCAGTAAAGCCAAACAAAATACTGACGTTCTTTTTACATCAGACTTTAGTAGGAGAGGGAAGATGCCATCAAAAAATCGAAAAATAAAGCTACTGCTAAAAGTAAAAATAATTCAAACAAGAAATGGAGCAAGAAGTATTATTATCAATTATGGATGGACTTAGTAAAGACTCATCTTCCTAAAGAAAAATCTCTCAGTATCATCGAAATATATTTGCACTACAGAAAACAGCAAAAAACTGAACGAATGTAACGTACTTATATCCCATCCATAAGATTCACTGTCTGATCCAATTAATGAACTATAACCAGCAATATGTAAGCGAGCTGCTTTCGTCGCAACTCCAACTACAGCATGAGTGCCACGCTGCCTACTCGGCCAAGTAATTTCCCAAACGTGGAAACCATCGGTGTAGCCTATCTGTAACAGAATATTAAACAAATTAATAAAAATGCAATTACATGTTTAAGACTACCTTGCCACGAATACAGTCAGTTGATTGCGCAACTGGATGTCTGTGAAACGTAAGATGGTCATCATCTTTAACAAAGATATTTAACGAGCGGTCATTAGGGTTCCATGCATGAGCTTCCATTACTGAGCGGTCAGGTGGTGGCATACATAATACGACATCAAGCCTTCCAGGCCTCCACATGTCTTCAAATCCACTGCCCTAAACAACAATTATTTTACATGAAAGCAAATAAATTTAGCATCTCTTAAACGCCCTTTCTAGTTCTAGTACTTCCGATTGCCTTTAAATAAGAACACTTCCTTCGTTCAAGCAACTTATTTTAAAAAAATGATTTCAACGAAGTCTGGCGATTTGGTTTCGCAATAATACACCGAGCATTTAAAATATCATTACGGTTATCGAGGGGGAAGAAACAGCATTACCAACAATGTACCGCTGCCGGCTGGCTTTGTAAAACTGTTTAAGTACTGTTATAATATGACACGCGATCCCGACGTCATCATGTTATCAATAAAGAATAAAATTAAACAGTTTGCACCGAGTTTTTTCAATAAACTAAAACGGCAAAAAAAAATAAACTTTAAATTGTACTAAACCAGGAATTCTCCTCCACTTCCTTTATCCTCCTGACAAATTTGAAAACAGAGCTCCTTTCAAAAGTGTCAAACAAATTACCTAAGAAACTGATAAATGAGTAATCCAGTAGAATCCGATATAGATTTAGGACTTAGTTTTGTGAAAAGAGGAAGCGCTGAAGGTGCAACGCACCTATACCACAATGAAATTTGAACTGTACTGGCTACAGCAACCGTAAAACATCATAAAAAACACAGTTATCTGAGTAGCGCTGTACGAACTGTAACGCTGAAAGGCTAAATCAGTGGAGTCGACGAGTCATATGGATACCAAGTATCACAGAACAGTATTCGAAAGACTTATCTATAGCTCCAAAGAGCAACTAGATCCTTCAAACTACTGTCGAACTTAATTAAATCTACCTTGCTTCTGAAATACATCATTTTAGTCATCCACTCTAGCTGCTGCCCTATTCCAGTGTACAGACAGCTGGATTACATCCTAAGCTCTGTTACCACTTTCAACCGCTACGATAACAAAAACTTCTAGCACATCTGTATTTTTCCACCGTTCTCTTAATAAATTTTTCCTTTTCCACCATGTAAAGGGTCAATATCACGATTGCAACAGAATAAAAATAACCCGAGTTTTTAAAACTTGGTTTTGTTTTGCATCATCTGTTTTACAGAACCACACTTTCGCCAAAATTTACTGTATTTACGTGAGACACATAAAACAGACAAAACTTTTTCTGTGAAAAAAGTATAAAAGCAAAAACAAAGAAAAGTTGTTAATTTTTAATGAAAAACGTACGTTATTACTGTAGTAATCTATAATAAAAATTTTAAGGAAGCATGACGAATCCCTAGTGAAACCGAAAGTCTCGGTCCCAATACCACAATGAGGACCGATTGAATTTTAGAAATAAGTTGAAACGAGAGCAAAAGGAAAACGATGGATTATTTGTTCGATGAGAATCGAAGAAATTTGTTATGATAGAAAACAGTGGATTACGACTTTCGCGTCAAAAGAATTGTCGGCAGTAAAAACAATAATTTGACTAGAATAAGAGGGCAAAGACTTTTTCTCTCGTAGCGATGTATGGTCCAAAAGAAAGCTAGAAAACGGCAACAGTAAAAACCAAAAGATACCTCCGTGGCTGACGAATAATGACCGTAGTGATGACCGCGTGAAATTTAAAAATTGCGGAATAAAGCCCAATCAATGTTTAATTTGAAATCATCACTACTAATACAAACCCCTCCAACCCACGAGAAATTATGCTGTCAATTCTGTAAATGTATTACAACTTCTCAACCATTTTACGCAACGACAAAAACTAACGGCAAAAAAAGTTTGTCCAACAATAAAACCGAGTTTCATAACTTCATTTTCCAATATGCAGAAAAACAGTTTAGACGAACAGCTCTGCTTTATGTTGTATCTGTATGTTCCATTTATGCACAAAGAAAATCATATTTAC